GACCAGTGAGCGAGTAAGAGAGAGAGAGAGAGCGAGAGAGAGAGAGAGAGCGAGAGAGAGAGAGAGCGAGCACATACAGGGTGTCATTGTCTGCTGGTTACCTAAGTAGGGTGCAGTATTATGAATGATATGGTTGACTGCAGTGCAGCAGTTTTAATATTAACTCAACTTAATTACTGTGATAGTTAATGAGTAAAACTCATTATTATTGCAATTTCCCCACACATTTTATATTAACGTAATTAATTCTTTGACATTGAAGATTAACTTGCCAGCGATGAATGTTTGAAATATAATACACTGCAGATATTGGAGGAATGCACGAGACTTTTGTCGTGTTTGCATGGTTTTGTTTGGTGCCACTGTAATTACTCGGCTAAATTTACAAGATGAGGGGGATGGGGGGATTTTCATTTTCTCCCTCTTGACCTTTCCGGGTTATATGCTGTTGTTTGTCCAGCCTTATTAAGATCATTTATAACACCTCGTACAGCAATGGTGGGTTTTACAGACTTTCCAGTCTCCCCCTCGTAAGCAGTGTTTATTCTCGGGAAGTGAAAAGAGAAGCAAACACTTTTTTTTAATTTACTCGTTGATTTTCAACACAAGTGATATTACCAGTTGCTCTGGGCATTGGGCGTGTGGCAGGGCCTCGATGTGAATGTGCCAAAATAGATTATACTGAAGGCCCATGGTCTGCACAAATGGAATTATATAATTCTCCAACATAATGAATAATTTCTATATAAATAACACAAATCAACAGCAACCAAACTGAGAGTGACTGCTGTGTTGAATAATTCATGAGCTGCATCTTGTTTTACATAATTTGTAATTTTCTATAAATGTACTTTTAGAAAACTCCCATACTATATAGATCAGTGTTTCCCAACCCAGTGCTCGGGGATCCCCAGCCAGTCCACATTTTTGCACCCTCCCAGCTCCCTGCCATTTTTGCTCCCACATTTTGTTCATTTTTTGCACTCATTATACAGTACATTGTTAAAAGCATCGAATACAAGGTGTTACATTTGAACCTGAAAATACAAGTGCAAGTGTGCTTATTTGACTCGAGGTTTGGTTCAGCTTCAGCCTGCAGCGTCTTTCTGGGCGACTCCGTGACGGCTGCTGTGTGGCTGTCTCGCATTAGCAGAGTGCCACTTTGTTTTGCTGTGAATCTGTATCCTGCTCAGCATCACGTACTTGGACACACATATGCACAGCAGCATGTAAACACAGCTCTCTTTACCCTTATACCTTCGTTGCCCTGAAAAGGGAGAATCGGTTTGCCGTCAAGGTCGGGAACAGGACAAGCGAATCAGTCAGGGAGTGCCAGCATTCACAAACACAAACTCCATGAATATAATATCATCAAAATCTTACTTTCAAACGCCTAAAGGGACAGCATGAGACATGTTTAAAACTCAGTTTCATTTTCCCCCATAAGATAATTTTGCAAATTGGTTCTGGTGTGTCTGAATGGATTTTCAGATCTTTCAGACTTCACCTTTTTTGATACTCTTAAATGATGTCATAAAGGCTGCAGTCCAGATGGTGTCTATAGGGGGCGTCCAGAACAATCAGGAATGGTCTTATCATCATCAATGTCGCTTCCTGTGCCTGACACATCCCAGTGATCTCAATGGCTACTTTTAAGATAGTTTCCGATACTTTTTTTACCGCGGATGGCATCGTAATTAACCATAAGACTCACGAAACATCGTACTCAGATGTTTTTAACCATCCAGCATCTCATGCTCCACGGTACAGGTGCCGCCTTCCCGAAATCCAGCAGAATCTCCCCAGTCTTTTATATGCAGCAGCAACTCACACTCCAAAATAAATGGCATTTTCTTTTAACTGGGCCTCACAAAAAAAAAAAAACACCAAATATTAATTTTTTGTTCATCTGCCTTTTAGCTGCTTATTCTGGGCAGGGTGGTGACTGGAATCTATCCCAAGCAGCTCAGGGACGAGGCAGGTACACATACACATTAAGGAATCTGCCATATATTTGTCAGTTTTTGGCCCATTTCCAGAAGGATGCTATATCAGCACTTTCTAAACCCGGTCTGGGTGTTTATTTTCTGTGGAGGGCCAAATCCAAGCTCCGCCGAGATAATTTCTTTTCAAAAGAGACATACTCTATTAATCTATTAAATTGTCATTTTGCTTACCTCATCTTGCTCTCAGTGAGACACACAGACACATACACCGGTAAAAGCAAGCTTTGGGGGGGGGGTCACAGCAGAGGGTCAGCCAGCATGCAGCACCCCTGCAGCTGGGGGTCTTGCTCAAGGGGTCCATAGATGTGACCATTCTGCTGAAGCTGGGGCTCAAAGCAGCGACCTTCTGATCACCGGCATGGAGGCTGAGGCACACGATGCACAACCAATGATTATTCAATGATTATTTTCATGTCCCATAAAACCTACAGAGATATACTTGTTAGATTTTACTTTTCCCTTTGTTTAGAGAAATTCAGAAATCGGTGCATATTTCATGATTATCATTAATTGTAAGAAAGATCTGTGTGCAATAACCTGTTCTACTTCTCAGGCATGAACATAAAACGTCACCCCCCCCCCTTTTTAACAATAAAAATAGCTCCTTGGGTCAGATATGGCCCTTGGGCTGCTTTTGCCCAGGTCTCCTCTAAATTCAGATCCATTCTCTCCTCCCATCCTCTTCATTATTTATGAAATGCAATATTAGCTTGGTTAGTGCTGTTTGAACAAGGGGTGTTAAATTCAATTTATGAAGGGTGTTCTCTCATTTCCATTCAGCTCTGGCTGAACGAATGCAATAAATTGCCGTAATATTTGTGCCCCATGCACTTATCCACAAAATGCACTCATTAAATTTGTGTGCAAATATCAGCAATCGTTCTCTTATATATATATATATATATATATATATATATATATATATATATATATATATATATATTAAATACTCATTAACATCATAAATTACTTTAAACTTATGAGGCTGAATTAAATTTAGACAATTTTACGAAAGTGAAGAATTTCTACAATTTGATCATAATTTATAAGGACTAGTGTTGAAAATATTAATACATGTAAATATGTTATCTGAATATGTTATTGCACAAAAAGTGGTTTTGTTGCTAAAGCCGCTGAGGTGACGGTCTCCTTCCATCTGATGTCCTCAGACTGCGCAGACCGTGCTGCTCGTGGTGGCTGCATTCCTGCTGTGCTGGATGCCACACCACATCATCGCCATGTGGGTGGAATTTGGCAAATTCCCACTAAATGATGCCTCCTTCGCCCTGCGTATCATCTCACACTGCCTCGCCTACGGGAACTCCTGCGTCAACCCCATCCTCTACGCGTTTCTGTCTGAGAACTTCCGTAAGGCCTGTCGGCAGGCCTTCTCCTGCAGCCTCCGCTTTCCATCACCCCCTGCAGAGAAGGTGGTCCGGATCCGCATGGAGAACCTCTCCACCACCCACTCCATAACCAACATGACGGGACAGCAGTAGAAGGACAAGGGTTTGTTTTGCCCTCCACCTCCAGGTCCTGGTTGCTTTGTGGGATTCATGCTGAGCTTCTTTACTTAAAGGGGCAGTTCACCCCAAAATAATAATAATAAAAAAAATGTTTCAGATATGCTGTAGTGCTGTTTATCCATCTAGATTGTTGTGGAGAGAGTTGCCTAGTTTTGGAGATATCATCTGTAGAAACATCAGTTTTCTCACAAATATAATGGGGTTGAGTGGTTTTCTTTCTGGGGTAAATAAAGCTCTAAAAAATCATTACCCGGTTATTCAAACTAATCCACAGACCTTGCAATGAGCAGTTTAATGTAGCAACTAAATTCTTACTACCGAACCCCACACACCAACTGCATGAATGCGCAGAAGTGACACTCGTGACAATGTGATGAACTCTAATGCTAGGTAGCTACGTGGTGATAGCATTATCAGTTAGCATTAGCTACCAACAGTAGCGAATAGCAACAATACCGTGTTAGTTAATAGTAATTTCAGCTCAATACTGTTAGCTCATCTAGCACCGCACCCTACAGCAAATCTGTTGTTTTTTTATTATTTTGGGGTGAACTGCCCATTTTTCTGCCATGTCTACCAGTTTTTCAAAGGGAACCGCACTGCAGCTGGTAAGCTAATTGCTCTACTGAATTCTTCAACTTTAAGAACGGGTACAGGTGTACATATGTAAGAGCAAAGATAACCATCCTTGCTCTTTGGCCATCTTCATGTTCTGGTTTTAAAAACATTAAGCATGAGACAATAATTTATGGCATTCTTACAAAAGAAGGTCATTTAATATTAAGTGCATTGTGGGACATTCAAATTAATTAAGGTGATACTTTGTATCACGGCCCATGGAATTTCAAACTCAAGTGACTCCCATTTTAATACATTTTTTTGTGGGGAACACATTTTAATCTGATCAGTATAATGAATCATTTGGATTATGACATTTCCATCCATCCTGCTTATTACACATCACAGTAGCTCACTCTTTAGTTTAATTCGCTTCTTTATCACACATACCAAAATTAGAGTCAACTTCACACCGAAAGAAAATTCATTCACCAAAACTAAAGGCAATTTCATACACCGTAAGAATCACGTGGATTTGTCTCGTAATTTGTATGTGAATATTCTGCAGCAGAATAATGTGTCGGGACTGAACCTCAAAAGTCTTGTTTTTAATTTTCCCCAGGAAATAGTGTCTGAATGATTGCATATATGTGATGTAGGACAGACACATGAGGATGGTGTGGGGGAGTATATTTCGAAATGAGAAGTAGCATTTGGGAAAGGATTTTGCTGAATGTCCTCCGTTCTCATAAAGTTATACATGTATTAATATGATTCTTTGTGATAAGGTTATAAGTCTCTGTAAAACACAAAGAACAATGGAGTATGTGGAGACAAAGACCCCCTCTTTCATGGCGTTAGGGTTAGGGTGGCCCCTCCATTTTCCATGACGGACAGGTGAATCGGGGCCAAAAAAAAATATCTTATTTTTTGTCCCGGGAGGTGGACAGCAAGTGTCTCTCAGAATTTTCCCCCTCAAAATCGTGATGTCTGCTATGAAATTGTTTTTTATTATCCTGGGATTGGAACCACTGTCTTACTGAACTGGTGAATGAAAGTAAGAGAGACTGTGTTAAAAACAAAGAAAGATTTCGAAATACGAAACCCTAGCTGCTTTGCTGCTCTTCACCAAACGCATGACTTACTTGTGATCCCACCGTGATTTGATGTGTGCATGTGCAGTTCCTTTCATGTTAAGAACACTTTATTGACTTCCTGCCAAGCCCTCCACCACTGCCTGCAACTGTGAATCGTCAGTCCACAGTCCTGTCGGTGTTGCTGGGAGTACGTTTATGTTTTCTGTTTCGTGTTTATAGAACTACGTCACGCAGAGGAATGTCTCTCTGTTTTCAGCCCATCAGTGAGATACCAACACCCTCAGTTAGATACAGATTCAGATTCAGGAGATTTGAGGTATGGGTGCTAGTACTGCTGCTGCAACATTGAGCAGAGAACCTGAATTGCTCAGACAGACATTCATCTGTCAGAACAGTGAATTACCCACAATGCTCTTGGCCAGAGTACTAAGTACTGGCAGAAGTACAAATGTGAATGTTATTTTAGAAACCTGTGACCTGAACACTTTGTATGTTACGCATGATGTAACAACTTACAGTATCTCCAAGACAGACTGACAAAAGTCTCACAAGTCTGGCAAACCCTAGTAATTTTTTAAATGATTTTGCTGAGGGAAGAGTCATGTGTCATTTCCTGTATAGAAGGATCCCTGATCACAAAGTCAGAACACTCAACTAATTGTTGATTTTCATCGTGAGTCCTAAAATTATTCTCAATTAATTATGTATCACCAAAGTTCAAGTGAGACATTGAGCCAGCTACACATCAGGCTGTGTGAAGTTACACTGACTGCGTTGGATTCTGTTCTCAACAATCACTTAACTAGTGAAGAACTGGGAGACATAACAGTCATTCAAGACACAAGACAAAAAGGTCAAACAATATTAAACCTAATTAATACTAATCAGGCTTAGATTAACTATATAACAAATGACCTGTAATGCATATTTTATCATAAGCAGCGGTTGACTCCCAGCCCATCCTGAGTGTAGTGACTCCCAGCCCACCCAGAGTGTAGTGACTCCCAGCCCATCCAGAGTGTACCCCAACTTTATACCCTCTGCTGCCTGAGATAAGCTCCAGGGCCTCTGGGGACCCTGGCCAGGGTGTTTGGTTGAAGAATGGATGAATGGATTTTTCATCACTGTGCACAGATTTCAGAAATGTCTGAATGTGTGAAATCACAGTCAGAATTCAGATGAAGACGTAGCCCTCATTAAGGACTGAAGAGCTATACCCAGGATCGGGGATCTCTGATACTCCTCCTCCTTGGTCATGACCACCAAGCCATGGCTAGAGAACAGGAAGCTCCTGGTTCTGGTGAATTTCCAGAACCCACACCCAGGATTTATTTTTTGGTCTCCATGGCTACACAATTCACAGATGTATTTCAACGGTGTGTGTGGACAGACGGCACTGAATGTCAAACAAATTAAACAAGCTGTGATGTATGTATGTGTCATAAACATATTAAACCAGTGGAAATCACATGTCTGGAGTTTATTGATATTGACATTTGCTGAGAGGAACACATTTTGAATTCATTATACTCGGCAGTCTTAGTGGCTCCCCATTGGTTCGGTAAAGTGCTTTTGGTGTTTGAAAAAGCACTATATAAATGTAACTTTCATTCATAACTAGAAGACATTTGTTGTCCCTAATCAATTGGCATTCTATTTTAATATTTCACCTAGATTTTGATGTCTTCACTAGTAAAGGTACAAATGTTTTCCAACCTCAAAGAACTACTTCAGTCACACAAAGCGATATGTATGTTAACGTGTATCCATAATTCTTATGTACCTCATTTTATCACTCAGTACATTATTACTAACAAATCAATGCATAACTTGTGAGAATTACAACTCAGAGAGCTAATCTTACAAAATGAGGTAACTCAATAAAAAAAAGCAAACTGGACTAAATGATTATTTTCACAAATTCAGTGGCCGTCGTCTGGAATCATTCTGGGTGCTGGTTCTTGGATCGTCTTCTCCATTCCAGGTAAGCTGGTCCTCCTGCGGGCCGCAGTCTCAATCGCCTGCACCAGCTCCACGTCCCAAGGGTGGGTGACGAAGCTGAGAACGGCCCCGTCCGAGCCGCTCCCAGCTCGTCCCACACGTCCCGCCCGGTGGATGTAGTCGGTGTGGGACCCAGGGAAGTCATAGTTGACGACTAGTCCAACACGTTGGGTGTCCAGGCCACGAGATGCGATGTCGGTGCACAGCAGCACGTCCACCTGCCCCTTTTGGAACGACTGGAAGATCCCTGCCCGCATGGAGGCTGGCATCTCCCCCTGGAGCCGCACGTGACGGACCCCCAAGTCCTCCAAGGTGTAGCCCAGCCAGTTGACAGTGGCTGAGCTGTTACAGAACACCAGGACACCCAAGCCCTCTGGTGTTTTCTTCAACTCTTGGTGAAGCTCCAATGGTTTATCTGTACCCCTCACTTTCAGGAAGGTCTGCTTCACATGGGGCATCAGGAAGTGTAGCATCCGGCTCCGGACAGTGAGCACGCTGCCCAGATCAGTGACCTGACTAAGAACCTCCCCGACACCTCCAGGAAAGGTTGCACCCACCACAGCCAGCTGAGCCTTATGACCTGGCCCCACTGTTTCTGAGGGACTGGATGCCACCTGAACATGCGTGAGAATACTCTCTACTAAGCCGGAGAAGCTTGGGTCAAACATAGTATCAGCTTCATCAATCACAAGGAAGCTAAGCAAAGTCATGTCCAAACAGCGTCTCCTTAATGCTTTGTAGAGGGCGCCCGGTGTACCTACTAAAATGTCTGGCAGCCCACTCTTGAAGGCCACTTTGATGTTACCTATACCTCTTCCACCACCCACTACCTTGACCTTCATGTCAAAGAGGCTTGCGAGGGCCTTGGCTACAGATGTTACCTGTTCTGCAAGCTCTCTGGAAGGCACAAGGATTACAGAGCGAATATGAGGATCAGACTCAAATTCAGCAGTCCCACTGTCTGCCTGCAATTTTTCAATTATAGGAAGTAAATAGCCAAGTGTCTTTCCACTTCCAGTCTCGGCAGCACACAAAATATTATGACCACGGAGAAGCTTGGGAATAGTTTTCTGCTGGACCGTTGTTGGATAAATGATATTGTTATTTCGCAAAAATTCTACTATCTCTGGACAGAGTTTAAAGGAATTAAACGTCCTTTTCACCATATGCTCCGTCTCTTCTTGCTTAGATTCTGTGATGCATGGTGGGACCGCCTGAGTGGAGTTTATTGTGAAGTAATCTCCAAATGACTTATTGTGTTTCCATCCTTTAGAGGCAAGAACAGGCTGCTCGAATTTTCCAAGCGTGTAGCCTGCGGACTGGTTGAGTCGAGGGTCCTTGCTCTTTATTAGGAGCTTACCAGGTTTACTGGTTATGACTCTATGGTTGCTTTTACGCTTAATCTGCTTTACGTGTTCGAAGCGCTCCTGCATTCGTCGAGGTATGCGGATTACCACAGGCTGTCCCGTGTTTGTAGTTTCACTGGCTGACTGGGAGCTGTAACGGAAAGCCGAGGCTTCCAAAGTTCTTGAAAATGAAAGTGCAGTTGTACTTAGCACAAGCCTCGACATGCAACGGAAAGCCGAGGAACAAACCCCCGAAGACTGCATATTTACTAAGAAATGTTTCAACAAATCATTTAAATTCAATATATCGATATTATCGGTTGCTTTATCAGCGCATTTACGTAAATGAACGGACGCACAACTCACATGGCCATCCTTCACTTGTCACGATTCACTGGCGACTTTTGATGACGTGTAATAGAGTCGCACCGGAAGATTGAAAACACGTTTTTTTAGTCATGCCGGTGAAGACTACGAAAATGTTCCTTCTTTAGGATAAGCACGGGTAAGATCTACGAAAATGTCCTAACAGTTATCTAGATACACTTTTCTTGGGGGCTGATTTTATTTTTTATGTGGCATTGCTTCTGTTAGACCAAAAGAATGGCTTACTTAGTTATCCAGCTGAGAAGATCATGAACTGTCGCAAAAGTATTATTTCAAAGAATGTGTCTCACACAGTTACACCAGTTGTACAGTTATATTGATTGGAATTTTATCATAGCTACCTGACTAACTGTGTATTTTAACTCGTATAAGCTAGTTGTGTAATCTGCCCAGCTCAGATGAATTGCCGGTGATTCATTTGAGAGGGAACATTCTAAAAATTCTAGGTCTAAAATGTTTTTAGAACGTGATGGTTAATTAAATGAGATTAGGTCTGTAAGTAGGCATCGTATAGCATCTTTACTTCTCGTGTGCGGAATTATTAAGAGAAATTATGGTTAATCGGGTGTTTTGAGCTAGTAACATTAAACATTAAATAATTTTCTCAAGCATTAAGTTTTTAGGAATGGTATTAATGTTTCTGCAACACTAAAGTAGTTGTACTTAACATCTTATTTTATACAATGTTTGTTGCAGTTTGTGACGGTAAGAACCCATGGCCATTGATACGGAGTGGCTGATTAAAATTAAGCTGAAGGTCACGTAATCCCCCCTTTGAACCAGTCTTGAAGGGGTGAGTATATCTTTAGGTTATGCCATTTGCGAAATAATAAAAAACACTTTTTAAATGGTTTGATATCAATATTTAAAAGCCAGATGATTGAAAAATATTCCCCAAACACTGGGCAGAGAGGGAACGTACTTGAAATTTTATGCTGTTCATCATGTTATGCTTTTGTGTTAATTACTCTGAACTGGGCAGGGATCAGAAATGGATAGTTCAGGTCAATAACATATAAATCCAGACCAAGATTTTGTTTCAACTAACCGGTTGTGTACTCTGTAATTGTGATTCTTTATGCTCAACCGGTTGGTTGAAACAAAATCTTGGTCTGAATTTTTACTTTCCAAACCTGAACTACCCACCTATATCACTGTTGTTTCACACCTCCAGGTCTGGGGATCTGAACCCTCAAGTTTACTTGAAACATAACAGAAAAATGTCAACGTGAATGTGAACTGAATTGTAAAACTATGACATACCTAGTTCATACAAACAAGGTTATTGAATAATTTGTGGTTGAATTTGAAATTCTATTGACTAACTACTACACAAGCACCCTCCAGTGTTTCTCCTGGTGATTTGTGGGTATGGAGTCTTGCACTGAACATGCCTGGGTGAAAATAGTTTTTCTCACCAGGAAATTGATAATAGCCTTTATCTTCCTTTCTGCGTTTTAAATAGAATGTAGTTTAAACTTGGAGTGTGGTGTCCTTTGCTGATTAATGTTGAAAGTCTTCCTCTGTACCTCACCTGTCCGTCAGTCATAGGCGTCGCCATGGCGCTGGCAGCACAGAGGCTCTGTTTCCATGGCAAGACGGCGTTGGCTCCCATGGTACGTGTCGGGACGCTGCCCATGCGCCTGCTGGCTCTCGACTATGGCGCTGACATTGTGTACTGTGAGGTAGGTGGACAGTGAAAGAGGTAACAGTCATTGCTTTTCATTTGCCGTGGAACCACAGAGAATGTGACTTATAAGGGAGTCGACTGCTTCTGTTTTGATGCCTGATGAAAAGCCCTTAAAGAATCTAGGCTAGAGTTGCTCTATAGACTAAAATTGGAGATAAAGCTGTGAGTTGAGCAGTCACCTGAATTGTAAGGAAAGTGTACTGAGGTCTGCTTTTGCAGCAAAAAGAATTCAGTATGTTGTATCCATAAGATGTCAGTCCCTGTACTGCAAAGGTTTTCAGAGAGGATTTACCCACGTCCCGTGTCAGCAGCTGATTCTTGAGGCTTTTCTTCGAAAGCCCCTGACTTATCAGACAGATCCCTACTGAGTGCTTGGTGGTTCCAAATGGCTTGTCTGTTCACTCACTCACTATTCTCTAAATAGAAAAAGACTCTATGTAGTTCTCTATGTAAGAGATTAGTCAGTAAAATAAGACCAATTCAGCTACCACATTTCAAATGCTCTATGTTGGTATCCTAGCAACCTTTGACAACTGCCATTTTGCCAAGAAGGAAAATACAACACCACCATAAATGAAGTAAAGAAGACGAACATGAACATATATATGCCTTCAATTATTTTAAATGATTCTTTTTATTACATTATTGAAAAGCCATCTTCAGTCTGCACAGATAACAAGTAGCCTTGTAAGTTACTTCTTTAAACATTTTTTTTACGTTGCATTATGGTACATACCTTCAGTATGTTAGTTTGCAGTGCATTATGGGAATTTTATAGTACCCTATATAGTGAGTCAGATTTGCCTTTGAGATTCAGAATAATACTGCAAAATGACAGTTCCACTATAGAGTTCCCAATTAGTTTATTGGGGAGCAATTTCAAACACGGCAATCGACCCAGTGTAGTAGACAATTACAAATAAAAAGCCTTTCCTCGTCCCTTTGGTGACATTATTAGCAGACTCGAACCAGGCTCCGAATGAAACCTGTCCGCTGCAATGATAACATTCTGCTGTTTATGTTGTTTGGGCGACAGAAATAATGTTTATTTTATAAAATGACACATGGGCTCTTTCCAGATTCGGCTAGCTGATGGCCTGGATGGTCAGTCTCATGTGCTGTTTGTGCACTCTGACTATGGTGTCTAGCTACTTAACTGATGTGCTGCTTTATGCTTTCAGCTAATTTTGTTATTTTAGCCTGTGATGTTTGTGTGATGTCACATTTAAAGTATGATGGGAACTGATAGTGTTTGCCTGCTTAAAGCTAATGGAGAAATTGCTGAATTTCCATTCCAAATATTTCAGTTCCTGTTTTGATCATGCTGCCTTGTAACCTAAATATGTGACAGTATCGTGAAAAGACATCAACACACATCAAGCTAGACTACTTTCAAAGTTGCCTCACTCATCCATGCCTTACAAAGTAAGTGAAAGTGACTGAGGATGCACCACGGCAAACAGCAATGAGATGTGTCCTCGGCATTTATCCCATATGTGACATCATGATATGGCAGAGGACAGCTAATTCAGTGCCCAGTACCATGCTCAGGGTACTTCTGTGGTACCTTGCTGGTCGGAGATTTGAAACAACAACCTTTCAATCACGAGTGTGCTGCACTAATCATTAGGTCACCACTGCCCCTGTGTGGAGTGAGATTTTATTTTATAAGTGAGTTTTTATTTTTTTTGTTAAAAAAAAAAAAAGGTGATCATATCATTTTACACAGCACCTGTGATGTGTTTTGTCACTTGTTTAAATGTAATCAGTTTTTTTTTTTTGCCTCGTTGTTTGAGGAGTGAGTAAAACTTTCGTTATCTTGAAAGCACTTTGCAAATGCAGGTCTTCATGAACAGCCGCCTTCAGCTGATTGCCGTGATCCAAGACTGTTCTGCAGAGTGCAGTTAGAGTAGAATCAATTGGTCTCGCAGTAAGCCAGTTGACGTCCTTCCAGATAAAATGTCAAGTAATGTTTGTTTTTTTTTTCTTTTCTGTTGAACTCCAGCGAAACACTTTGAGAGCTATTGCACATAGTTCCTTTGTCATAGTCTGAGAGACTCTGAGCTGGACAAATTTCTGTAGGAGTATCATCAGTCTGCTACGACGTGATGTGTTAACCATCTGTCCACACCTGACCTCTTCAGGTTGCTTATGTAATTCCTTGTGGTGATTCTAGAAGTCGTCCCCGTGTGAAAAGTTAGACACCACAGGAGAAAAAAAATAGACCATTCTGAGTCTGTTTTTTACCTTTTAAGAATGTTGGTAACTCCTGCCTTTCCAGTGAAAATTGTATATCCTAGCAGATTCTACAAGGGAGATGTAGTTTGATCAAATTTGGCGAAACGATCCAAAAATTGTATATAATTTATGATTTGATCATGGGGTTTTTTGATCCTATACAGTTTGTATTTTTTTTTTTCCATCGGAAACCCTGACTGCTTAGTTTCACATTCTAACTAAAAACGAACTAAGCACAATTATTTGCTTTATTGGTCTAAATTTCTGGCTATAAAGACCTGGTTTACAAAATGAGTCTGACCATTGGCACGCTATGCTTAATACCTTATTGTTAAGAGAGTAACGTTAAGAGAGCTGCATTTTCACCCCCACCATCTAACCCAATTTTTTTTTACCATATTCCATTTCTCTGGCAGAGCAGTAGGCTTTAGAATTAGACAAAGTTTTCTAGAAATGTCACTTCAGATTCCTTGACTGTCTTTGTATCGCGTTTGTAGGAGCTCATCGACATCAAGATGGCGCAGTGCCAGCGAGTAAAGAACGGTGGGTGTCCCGCCTCCAACCCTTTTTCAATGCAGTGTGGAACTGGTCCAACTGACATTTCATAAAATTAAAATGAAATTCAGCTGCACACAGCATATATCCAAGGTGACACAACAACTGGCTGTTGTTCTGGAAACTGGCTGTACATCATTGGGGAGTGTGCACTAACCCTAACCTCCCTGTCCTGTTCTTTTCCCAGAGGTCTTGGACACGGTAGATTTTGTGGCCCCAGATGAGAGGGTCATGTTCCGCACTTGCCAGAGAGAGAAGGACTGTGTTGTCTTTCAGATGGTAAACAGCAGATTTTTGCTACTAATTTTTCTCTCCTCCCCCCCCCCCCATATCAGATGGAAGTTATGGTTAGGGCAAGAAGTTAGTTTTTCCCCTTGTCAAGATCCTTGATTCCTCTGAGGGGTAATCGAATGCCATGCTTGCGATTTTGCCTTGTTTATTGCATCAGGTTATCTGGAGGTCAGATCGATTTAAGGTTTAATAGAGCTCAGGTTTTCACACCTTTTGAGGTCTAAGACCAAAGAAGAGCTTTGGAGTTTCTGTTGGAGAAGCAGGACAGCCATCCTGGCCGATCTGTGAACCGAAAGGCGCCTAACAGCCGATCTGAACCTTGGCGTGTGAGGAGACTCGGCATGATGTGCGTCTGCGTTTTCATGTCTTCTACAGGGCACCGCTGACCCCGAGAGAGCACTGGCCGTAGCTCGACTGGTGTGAGTCCCTTCTGCCTCCTGTCATCTCCTCTCCATCTTACTGCCATCTTCCAGCTTCCCTTTCTAATTATTGCAACTCTAAATCCCAACCCTGTCTGGCCCTTTATCCCTCATGGAGCCTTGAGCTCCTCTCTCAGTGCAGTAGATGTTGCTACCCGGCATAAAATGCCTCTTCTATCTGGGGGGGGCATTCCGTTCCATGTGTTGCGGCTGGTTTCTCTTGCACTGCTGTGGTAATGAGGTCATTTGTCTCCGATGGTGCCTCCATATCAGTGGGTGGATGAAAGGCAAAGTCAGAGAGGCGCTTCACTGCTACTCACTTCTCAGCAGAGTACGATCAGTATAGTTTTCAGTAGTATGCTGGGATTCTTTTCTCCTGGAGGGGGGTATTTTATGGATGCTGGGTCCCTGGTCCTGTCATTCTCAGCGTGCTCAGTGGCTAATTGTCACTTTCTTCTTGGAATTAATTTTTCTGAAAAGAGAGAATGACGTGGCTGCCATTGACGTCAACATGGGCTGCCCAAAAGAGTACTCTACCAAGGTAAGCTTCTACTCCACAGTAAGAACATGCCCAGCCCCCCCAGTCTTAGCTGCTAATCACAGGCATCCCTCTTACAGTAGCACCTTTCCTTGTACCCCCAGTATACTGTCCTGTGGTAGCTGCTGCCCACAGTCCAGTAGTTGTTCCTCTCCAAAAACATTCCAGCCAATGGAAACACCTCACAGGTCTTCACTCTGCCAATAGCAGCTACTAGTATATTACATTCAGTGACAAAAAAAGTTAAGCACCCAGACAGAGTGGTGGAAATTAAATTAATCTGCACAGGTCATGTGACTGTGTCGCAATGATTATATTATCAGATCAAACGGACAACAGAGTTGGCAGTATGGGCACACTGCTGGTCCCAGGTCAGTAGGGTGTGACCCCCCCGGGCCTGGATACATGCGGTGATATGGTGCAGAAGGGAGCCGTACAGCTGTTATATTCTCTCCTGCATCAAGTTGGCCCACAGCTGTTGTCACTGGCCCTTGAGATCTTGCAGACTGGCACTGGGTCAGAAATGACATACAAGCTGATCCCACACATGTTTGATTGGGGAAAGATCGAGGGACCTGGCTGGTCACGGGAGGACCTCAGCATGTCGCTGACAGTTCAGAGATACACCTGCCGTGTGTGGACGGGCGTTGTCTTGATGAAAGACTGTACCAGGGTGCTGTCTCAGGAGGGGTAAGACATGCGGACGCAGGACGTCACTGACGTAGCGCTGTGCTGTCAGGGTCCCCCGAATCCCTATCAGAGAACCTGAAGTCACACCCTATGGCTTCCCACACCATGATGTCACACCCTATGGCTTCCCACACCATGATGTCACACCCTATGGCTCCCCACACCATGATGTCACACCCTATGGCTCCCCACACCATGATGTCACACCCTATGGCTCCCCACACCATGATGTCATACCCTATGGCTCCCCACACCATGATGCCAGGAGTAACGCTGGTGGGTCTCTCCACAACATTGGTGGGATTGGTCCAGTCTGCCTGGCGCCGCTATACGTGGGCACAATGGTCACCCCTGGTAATGCAGAACCGAGATTCATCGCTCAACATGGTACGACGTCACTCGTCATCAGTCCATGCCTCCCGGTTACGGCACCACTCCAAACGCAGCCGTCTCTGCGCTGGTGTTAACGGCAGCCTATGCATGGGACGGTGAACCCGTGGTCCGGCTGGTCCCAGTCGCGTGTTGTAGGCGCAGGGGAGGACAACAGGCTAAGTCATGGGGTTCTGTAATGCTTGGCGCACAAAACGACGATCCTCCCTTGGCGTGGTTCTGTCTTGGCCGACCGAGACCTTCACGTGTGCGGCTGCCCTCACGTGCCCATTGGTTCCAACATCAGGTGACTGACATCTGCATGCCCCACATGCCGGGTAATTGCACGAAACTACCACCCGGCCTCATGCAAACACACAATGCGACCTATCAAACTCCGGCAGGTCCTGGCAATGCTGTCTAATGCGTCTATGAGGCATCCTCTGGGTCTGGTGGCTATGCTTGCCAGCTCCTTGCAAATCGAGTCATTTACATGCCCACCGCTGGTCTACCAAATTACATCCATTTCATCGGACCATTACTTATGGGTGCATAACTTTCTGTCATTGAGTGTGTAATATTTCAATGTATGAGAATCTGCTGTCTACTGTCATGCTTTACAGAAGTTCCCTGTTCCTCAAAAGATTTTGTGTATTCGTATATATTCAAAAGTAACATTAGCATTGAATATAGCAAACAAAAGGATTGTGTGTGCTGTCTTACGTTAAGCTCTGCCTTGGGCTGAGTGCTGTTTGGAAGATGTGCCGTCCAAATTCTCAAGGTAATTTCAGAGCCCAAAAAGGGGAGAAAGTTTTTGTGTTTATCTTGCTAGAAGAAACGCCTTTATGGGAAGATGTTTGGTATTAAGTGACTTGAGTCACTGCACCAACTTCAGTGAAGGGCTGGGCAATTAATCGAGAATTAATCAAAATCAACATAAATCGACATAATCTTGCCCATGTCAGTTACTTAGTTTTATTATTATTATTATTATTCTATTACTTAAAAAAAAAAAAATCCATCCATTTTCTACTTTTTGGGAGTTTGCTTTTTACATGAAAACTAAAATGTGACCTTTTTCATAAGACATTTTGTGATTTGTGCTTTGATTTCAGTTGTTTGAAATATTCAGTTAATAACCATAAATGGTTCATCTGCATGTTTCCTTCAGTTATTTTAAAATCATAAAGATAAAATTTACAGTCTTTCATTAGAAAAAATATCTTTAGCTTTAATAGTTTGCAGTACATATTTGCAGTACAAACTTTATGAATATAAATATATGTATAAGGGGGAAAAAAAACAATCGTTTAATTGTAATTGAGGTAAAATATTCAATTAATCGTGATATTGATTAGAGGTCATATCACCAAGCCCTAATTCATTGAACACTTTTTTTTTTACACAAAAAAATACCCCCAATGTAGACCTAAGCTGCGTATTAGCCCCCTCTTTTGTAGTCAATTTTTGTTTTTAAGTTTTCTGTCACAATAAGTTGTTTGTTCCAAATATTTGAATGCTATGAAAAGAAAACAAATCTGTCATCTCTGAAAGCTGCCGCTGAAAATAAATCGTTCAAGATTTTTTTTGTACCAACTGGAACCAGCCTAACAGATCTGAGAGCTTCCATGTGGCTTGTTGTTGACCACCTGCTGAGGACGTGAGATTGATAGGGGTTCATGCGGCCTCACAATGCAGACGAGGTGGGCTTTTAGGGTGTGGGCGCCAGATGGAGCTGCTTTGGGGGTGGGATTGACGCTTGTTAGCAGTAATGTTGTCCATCTTCTCACACAGGGGGGAATGGGAGCTGCCCTTCTGTCTGACCCAGACAAGATAGAAGCCGTGAGTACATTGTGTTTTCTTCACTCCTCGGGTTTGCGTTTGAAACATCCACTATCACCAGATCATGGACTGACTACATGTAAACACTACACCTATAGCATTTTGGCCTCAGGAAACCACCCCCCATGCCCTGCAACACAGGAGAGTTGATTGCCATGATCCAATACCCTTCTGTAGAGTGCAGCTTTGAAACGTATAAAGCATATATGCCTTCAGTCTGAGGTTCGAATGCATCATAGAAAAAGGTCCAGAAGACCATGAGTTGGCAGTTAGGGCCGGAATATTACTACAGAATGAGTATAAGGAGATGTACTGACTCTCTCAGTCAAGGCCAGGCTTAGGGGAGCGTGCCCCTGGTTTCTTAGAGTAGCTGGAGATGTTTTCAGGATTTTCCATGTGTGCCAGCTCCGTTTCCATGCCCGTCGTGGACAAACCTGCTCTAACCCTCCAGTCTCTCCGTGTGAGGTGTAGAACAAGCAGTGAGCCGTCTGCTGGTCTAAGGCCTAAGTTGCTCGCAGCCATGACAGTGGAAGACTGTTGCCTTCTGTTTACACCTCCTGTTTTGTCTCTTAGCTGCCTGTTGGCATGGTACCGGTCTGCTTCTGGAGCCTTCGTTAATCCGGTTGGTGCAGACGCCCGCCGCCTTTCGGCTGACCTCCCGCTAATAGCCCGAACGAGCCGTCGTCACTGGCACAGCTCTAGGCTTTGCAGGAGGGAGGCGTTTGCTAGATGCACTGAAGCTTCCTTCGTTGGCTTCGGTTGCTGATTGGGAGAGTGCGATGGCGACTCAGACCGCGGTGGCGACTCTGACCGCGGTGGCGACTCTGACCGCGGTGGCGACTCTGACCACGGTGGCGACTCAGACCGCCCTTTGGGTCTGTCTCCTGATATTGTCCTCCCAGGCACCAGCTCTTGGCACTTTTCCAAGATTTGGTTAGATCAGAGCCATGAGGTGTGGTCTGTGGCTGCTAAGATTAAAGATTCAGATGGACCTTCCTGATCCCAGGGGGAAATTCTGGTGCATCAAGCAGCAAGAACATACACAGATGAACATACATATAGTGCCAAACAGACAAGGTGCAAAGACCATATACAAGACGGTGTTGGGGGGAGGTAGATGGGTCTTAGACTCTGTTTCATGAGGTACTTTGGTATGTCACAAAGGCGAGTAGCTTCAGCGTTCATTACGTATCAGGGACGAAGGCACAATCAGCTCCTGCACTGTACTACTTTGCCAGCAATTTCTAGGATTTACAACTAAGGAGAAAGGAACTTCAGGGTGAATTGTATTCACCCAGCTTGATGCCTTTTTAAAGATCGACATGTTGCCTGTAGCTAACAGCTAAACTCTAATGTATCACATTCACTATTGCGGTGTCACATGTGGGGGTGCAAACACTCCCTCCAGAGTCGCTTTTTTCTGTCAGTGGATACCGGTGGTACCACCTTGGCTGCCTGATCTCTTCATTACTCCATTTTTTAATGTGCTAAATGACAGAAGTCTTTCTGCTCATCAGAAATGTGTGCCAAATTTAAAATGTTTGTATTTGTATGGGTTTGCTGTGGTGCAAAAGGGTAAGTAAAATTTATTTATGAAGCCTTTTGCAGACAAAGGTCACAAGGCACTGAACAATATACGTATACTGTAAAACACAGAAATACAAGAAACATATATTTTAAATAAAACCACAGTGGGATTATCCAAAAGCCTGCTTAAACAGAAATGTTTTGAGCTGCTTCTTAAATATCTCAGCTGATGGAGCAGATGATGGTGACACTGAAAGACTGTTCCATAACCTTGGGGCCACAGACCGAAATGCACAAGCCCCACTGGTCTTTAATCTGGTCCGAGCAGCTGAAAGGAAACTCGATTGAGTAGATCTCAGAGTACGAACGCGGGAATGATGCCGCAGAAGGTCGGTCATGGGAGGGCTTGACCGTGAAGGCTCTGTTGCAGGGGTCTCAAACTCCAGTCCTGGGGGGCCGGAGCCCTGCACATTTTTGGGTTTCCCCTCATTTAACACACCTGATTCAACTCCTTGTGCTAATTACCACACAGCTCTTGAGCTGAATCATTCGTGGTGGAACAGGGAAAGAACTAAGCTACACAGGGCTCCGGCCCCCCAGGACTGCAGTCTGAGACCCCTGCTCTGTAGGTAACATACATCTGTGTGTAAGCTGTTCAACAAAACACCTTTGATATGATTTGTGTTTAATAACCACTTAGGTATTCATATTTTCACCTTGATTAATTGATGGACTGCACAATTAATTAGACTTTTCTTGTAGCTGAAATTGCATTGATAAAGCATGATTCATAACATTGATATCAAACTGAAACGACCCATTGGGGAACAAGTAATGACCAGTAGTGACTTTAAATTATGGCTTAATTAGACTGAGTTTCCCAATTTACAAGATTTAGGCTAAAATGATTCATATACTTGTTACTGCTTAATAAAACCTCTTTCTTAACAGGCTGCCCACTTTATTGATTAAATTATGAAGTACTGTTTGATATTTTTGATTATCGTGTAGCAGAGTACGGTAAGGAAGACACTAAAGAACTGAAAACTAGCCTGTGTTTATGAAATTCAGGTGAACTGCCTTTTGTACATCTTGGTTCGGCATTGCGAACGCTAATCAGTTAAAACTAAACCTGTATATCTGCCCACAGAAAAGATATTAGTCATCCGAAATAGAAAAGCCTCTCAGACTCTCTCAGGCCTGAATATTGTGGAGATTTTTGTATGAAAGTACTCCTGTTACATTGTTGGTACTTACTGCTTTTATGTTACTGGGTGACACAGCAGTGTGAATGGCAGGGCCTCTCACTGTTCTGCACTTTACCAATTAGGTAGCAATGTTTGGTTTGAAACATATTAAAGCTGCATATAACACATTTTATAAACTATATTATCACACTGTTGCTATTGATGAAGATCTTCATTTTCTGTAAGGAAGCAATGGCTCTGTGCCTTCATGTAATTGCCAGGTCAACCTTTGAGTCCGCAATGCTGTCATTGTGTCGCTAACGCCGGCAGGGTGTGGTGTCTCATGTAACACCATGTCATGGCTGAATCGCTGACCACAGACACGCTTCTCTCTTCCAGATCCTCAGTGCCCTCGTCAAGGGTGTGTCCAAGCCTGTGACGTGCAAAATCCGGATTCTCCCATCCGTAAGACTCTCTCCGTAATAACTCATTTTATCCTCACCACTTTTATAGTTCTTAGATGTCAGTTCCTGGAAAATTACAGGTTTGCACTCATTTTAGCGAAATGTTCTTTTCAGTGGAAATGTCATTACATTGAGGAAGAGAAAAGCAAGCGTTTTGTATGTTCGGAGGTCATCAACTTCTATGGAGTAAAAGTGCTTCAGCCATGATCTAAATTTTAAAAGAAAGCTGTATTTTTAAAGATTATGTTTTGGGATGCTGGGAGCCATATTCTGCATTGCTGCTGAAGGCATGACTCACTGCTAATGAGGGTGGTTAACCGGGGGCCCAAAGACAATAGAAGACTGGGGATGAGGGGGAGAACCAACCACAAACACTCCCTAACAATGTGGAGAATTCTAACACTGCCTTTATGAAATTGTGGACAATGTGTTGACTTACCATTTTGGTGACACGATTCAGTGACGTCTTACGGCTTTTGAGGGTCTGTCAGTGCTGGAAGTCACTCGGGTTTTCTGAGCTGTATTTTTTTTGTTAATTGCTTGTTTGTTAACTGCATCTCCTTGTCTCCTGCTGCATCCTGCCCCCCCCCCCCCCCCACATTGGGGGTTAAGTGCATTGACCCATCACCTTAATGTGATCGAGTCCCCTTTTGAATGCTTGAGTCCACTTTTCATCTTCTCCGGTTAAACGGTAAAATAGCAAAAGCTGCCTTATATATGTGGCAACAAAGTTACTAATTTTAGTGTCTTATAAACCTAAACTAATATCTAGAATTTTTTTTTCCAAATAGGCGCTTGTTAACTAATCATTTTAAGATCTAACAGTAAATTCTTTCTATCTTGCAAAAAAGCCTGCAGGTTGATTTTTTTAATTCTCTTTTCTTTTTTTAGTGTTTGAAGGGGAAAGTTTATTACAGCCTTTGAACTCCTGATCTTTCTTTTCTGATCATTCTTTAAAATCACTTACAGGAAGATTGATAATCATTGGCAGCATCTTGCCAGTGGAGGACTGTAGCCGGTCCTCTGCAATCCTACAGAGAGCTGCACAACCACAAAAACTCAAACAAGGGCCAATGCCATCAATTATGAGGGGGACCGTGACGAGCTGGTCAGCAAAGCTGCATCGTGAAACCCCAGCTGACCAAACCTGACTGATTAGTCCGTCTTTACTCCCTTTAAATTGTTATGGTGTAGCCACAAACAAACGCAGGTCAGTCTCTGGCCCAGGAAAAAGAAAGCTTAAGAATCTTGTAAAACTGTTGAAATGCTAATTGATTTAGTTTTTATATATATTTTTTTACCTGCTTGGCACCCACAGAGCCACTGGATGACACTTCATCCAGAACATTCTCTGACCATTTTGTGTCCATTTCAGCTGGAAGAGACTGTTCAGCTGGTTAAGCGGATTGAGCAGATGGGCGTGGCCGCCATCGCTGTCCACGGCAGGTGAGCCATGCTATCATCGCTCCTGTTTAACGCCCATTTTCCTCTCCCATTGGTGCTTTTTCAAAGACGACACCAGATCTTCATATTAACATTTAATAAGCGCCTGGAAACCAACGGGGAGTATTTGTGCAATTAATTCATGTTAACTGCTGCCTGATGACACCATTGTCATGTATAAAGCGCATATGCTTTCGGTCTGAGGTTCGAACGCATCATACAAGAAGAAGAACAAAAGGTCCCGAGAACCATGGTGTTCACCTGCCTTTATTACAACCAGGTTCTTCTTTTGCAATGAGCTGTGAAATTGTCATCTGGGTACAGTGTGAATTAAGTCATTTTTGTTACCTTTGCTTGAGCATTTGTGGCCATCACACTGTGGTGTTTGCCATGTGCTGCTTTGCCCTACAAATAAAATAGCTTCTGATAAGGTCACTTGTCTATAACAGCATCTGTGTTGCAGACCCAGAAGGATGCAAGTTCAGTTATGGAGCTTAAAGGCAGGGGTGGGTGTGGGGAAGTGGGATAAAGTACCAGTCAACAGTTTGCAAATGTCAAGCTGCCTACGAAGAAGAGCGAAAGCGTGTCGCGTCACATGACTTGGCCACCTGACCTAAACACACTAGAGATGGATAGTTTGACCAGAGAATGAAGAAAAATGACAGCTCAGCATATTTAGGAGCTTCTTCAGGACTGCTAGAAAAGCATCCCAGGAGACCACCTCATGAAACGGGCACAGAGGAGACCGTAGGGTCAGCCACTCTCTGGAGTAATTAGGATTATGGGCCTTACTCAAGGGCCCAATGGTGGGATCACTGTGCCGACTACAGAATTTGAATCGGCAACATTCAGAGTCCCAAGCCACCCCAATAAATTTATTTTTTATGTTTAATACTGCTCAGTGCAATATTCCATATGTTATTTTACAGTTTTGATATTTCTCATGTGTCCAAACGTTTGACTGGTATTGTAAGTCATTCTGCGCTGAGGTCATTGGGGTTGAACGAGCAGTGAGCTTCTGACGTGGTTACTGGGTTACCAGGAAGAAGGGGGAGAGGCCTCAGCACCCCGTCCACTGTGATTTCATCCAGGCTGTGGCAGAAGCGGTGTCCATTCCTGTCTTCGCCAAGTGAGTCCTCACTCACAATGCACCGTGGCAGTCAGTTACACTCAATGCAGCCTGGGATTTGTATTTTCTCTTGCTGGGTTTGTTTTGCTTTGTGCTCTTCGATTTAAGAGTTGAATGGCAGCAGAGTTTTACACAAGGAGGTTTATAAGAAAGTTGTCCAGTGTTCCTTTGCGTTTCGCTTTTCAGTGGGGGTTCTCTTGACCTGGTAAAAAGTCACGGTGATATCGAGGCCTTCCGGGAATCCACAAAGGCGTCCTCCGTCATGCTGGCACGGGCCGCTATGTGGAACCCTTCGATATTCCGCCCCCAGGGGATGCTGTCCCTGGAGGAGGTTATGGAGGCCTACATCCATCATGTGAGTTCTCATCCTCTTGCCTTTCACCCAATCTTCTGTGCACTGTTCACCACAGGTTCACCACACTGGATATGTTTGCAGTTCTGTTCTCAAGTCATGTAACACAAGATGCCATCCATTCTGATCTAACCGTACGGGTGTCATTCTGATGCCCTGATGAAGTTCATTGATCTGCAGTTAATTTCCCTGCTTTCGCATTTGGGGGATCGATGAACTGCATCGATTCCCAGGCGTTGCCCCTGCATGATGTGGTCCACGTTCCATCTTTCTGGTGATCTTGTGCTGTGATGTGTAAATGAACTCTAATAGTTTAGTCGCAAGGGAAGACCCTAATGTCAGTATATGTGTGTTTCGTGTAAGTGCAGTTGTTAAATGACTTGGGGAGACAACGGAATATGACATCATGTCAGCCAGTCACTGAGTGTGTTGCCTGTTCTTAGGATTATAGCTTTCATAGAATTATTATATATTTTTAATTTGCTTACATTGTGCATGGCAGCTGTAGCTTTTGGGATGGGCTCCAGACCCCACGCCCCTGCATAGCATAAGTGGATATAGAGGATGGATGGATAGATGGATGGATGGATGGATTTGTGTCTTGTCATGCCTAGTGCTGTGAGAAGAACAAGCCGCACTGTCTTCCTTTGCTGACTATGTTCTAAGTTCAGGCTGTGTTGTTGTCCCGCCCTCATGTGCCGATCATGTGCCGATCATGAGCCGATCATGTGCCCTGTCCCGTCGTCTCACCGCTCTCTGCATTTGCAGGCCGTCCGCTACGAGAACCACGTCTCCAACACCAAATACTGCCTGTGCCAGATGCTGAGGGAGAGGATGGAGTCTCCTCTGGGGAAGCAGCTTCATGCTGCCCAGACCACCGCCGAAATCTGGTACCTGTGACAAACACACTGCTACGCCCCACTGTCTCTCTCTCACACACACGCACGCACG